GATTTCCACACCTCAGCAGAAGTAGTACATCGAGCCACAGTAGAAAGAACAGTGGAAGTTAACGTAGAGTTGATCCAACTCATAATTTGCTTATCTTGTCGCTGCCAAGTCGCATATTCAGGATTTGGAGTGGACTTATCATCAAGGAGTTTTGCAGGACAAGTTTGAGAACCATCAACATAACCATAGAGATCATTGGCTTGTAACAGAGGAGTGAATTGCGCAAGCCACAGTAGATAATTAGTGCGATCAAGTTTGATCGAAACCAAGTATGAGACGTTGGGAAGAGAACTGGCCAAAGAGGTAGAAGACGAAGCCATCTCAACCAAACAGGAAACAACCAAGAACAAACAATAAAACAAGAACAGAGAAAAAAAATTGGATCGAGAGTCTCAAGACAAGAGCTCTGATACCATGAAAGAGCTTGCAAAGTATTATATTCAACAATTGTTATTGAATGAATCGATTTACAAAGATACATTCCCATAGGATATATAGACAAAGCAAAAGTATAAAGTTTCACTGATGCACTAGGAATAGAATACTTAAAACTATCAGTGGATGTTTCCACGCATGATGTTTGCTACTTTACTTGACTATTATATGTTAACTAGTGGTATTCACTGAGGGCAAGGAATCATTGTGTCTTCTATCATCATTGTGTCTTCTATCATCATTATGTCTTCTATCACCCCATCCCCATCATTTTCTGATCTGTCTTCTGCTCCATTTTAAATCTCAAATGATCAAATAATTGAGAATGTGGCGAGCCAAAAAAATGAAACCAAGCAAAAACTTGAATTATTAACCATAAAACAAAAAAAATCAAAACTTAAAAAACCCATTAGATGAGGAAGATAACTATCACTTGTTATGGCACATGTCCCTTGTGAAAACAGGGAAAATAAAAAACCCAAATCTGGAGGGAGAAATAGGGAGAGAGAAGGGGGCCCATCCAGGACCACCTCGCAGTTCAGACCAGAAATAGGGAGAGAGAAGGAAGAGGGGTGTGGGTAGTGCGGCTAGAAGAAGAGGAGATGCACAGCTCCGAAAATGCCGATTCATCATTTTTATTTTTATTTTTGAAAGGGAACGATATATTGCATTCATAAATCAAGCACAAAGGCTAAAAGCCAGGCCAGAACAAGAACAGTAACAGTTACACATACCCATACAGGGTTAATACAAACACCGGTCATGGCCACAGATGGCCAGAGAGGAAGCGGTAAAGAAACCGCGAGTAAATCCCAAACAGGGATAATACAAATGTGGACAGTAGTCTAGAGGGGAAGGACACCGATAACATCGGGAACTCTAGTCATGGCCACAGGAGGCCAGAGAGAAAGCGGTAAAGAACCCGCGAGCCAGGAAAAATCCGGCATAGAACCAATAACCGCCTAAAGCCAAAAGCCTAGGCACCCAAATTACAGATGCAACAAAACATAAACTCTCACAAGTAAAAAGCCCGAAGAGACTGTAAATAGCAACGCACTCAAACGAGTGGAAGCACTAAAAACAACAAGAAACTGCAAAGACAAAGAATCCGCACAGCAAGCTCTTCAGCACCAGGCAGAGCAGACCCAAAACGACCAGGCCGATGGGCAGTCCCCAAGGGCGAAAAGATTGGAGAAGATCGGAGCAGGAGCACCAAAATCAGAGCCACCACCATGCAGACCGCCGATGGAACAAACCAGAAAACCACGAACCCACCAAGTTCAGCCACAGAAGTTGTAGAAAAGAGGGCAAGGGGAGATTTGGACCAAAACCAAACTGGAAAAAAAACAAGAGAAAAAGTGCGTGAAAAAAGAAAAAACCCCAACAGAGGGAGAGAGAGAGAGAGAGAGAGAGAGAGAGACGAAAGAGAGGAGGGTTAAGAGGAAGGAAAGGGAGGGGAAACGGAAACAGGATGGAAAATAAAAGATGGCCACCAACCCCCAAAGGGGGCGGCGGCTGAGCTTTCACAGAGAGAGAGTTTTTCTTTCAGTTAGGGTTTTTTTTTCTCACTGCAAGAGATGTAGTTATATATTGCTTTGTTTGCAGGGAGCATTTTTACTCACCACTTTAACTATAGGTGTACCCTCACCACCATCCTCAATGCTTGACACGTGTCCATAGGTGTAATCATGATTCCATAAATACAAAGCAAAAGTTAACTATAGTTATGTCTATAGACACGTGTCAAGCATTGAGGATGTTGGTGAGGGTACACATGTGATTAAAGTGGTGAGCAAAAATGCACCCTTGTTTGCATTTCTAGGGGCCGACCCACTCTGAACATTAGAAAAATCTAAACCCCCGAAGCATCCAAGTTTGACCTCCAAAACAACCCAATATTGTATCCCTTTCCTTGTTTGGTTCGGTTTTAACAAGGACTGTCCTCTTCAAAAAAAAAAAAAAAACAAGGACTGTCTGGAGAAAGCCAGCTCCATTAGTCACATTAGTATCCATCATCAGTCCCAATTGGAGAAAACAGGGTGGACATAGGGAAAAGGGAAAAGGAAACAATGCAAATTTGGACTCGTCTAATTTTCATGCTTTCCTGTTATCTTTCTAATTTGTTGACACATATTCCTGCACTTTAACTTCTAACTGTTCTTTTTAATTATTTAAAAGAGAATAAAAAATAACAACCACGATCATAACCCTTGGGTGAAGAGATATTAATTTATTCCAAAAGCCTTTGATGAAGATATATTAATTCATTTTGGCAAAAAAGGAAAGAGTATTTAATATTCACTTTGACAAAAAAGGAAAGGGGGTTTAATGATTAGGAAAGAAAAAACACTGATATTGTCTCATCTTTTATCCCATCAAATAGGTCTATGTATCATTTATTCCTTACCCTACCTAGGTCTATGCATCATCATTTCATCAAATTAATTTAATTAAAATTAAATAGGACACATACATGCTAACATGCGGCTTGGTGTAGTTTTACAATGCCGTAGCTCCATCTATTTATAGGAGGATGGGAGCAATATTCATGATTTTAATATGTCTTCCACTTGCCATCAAACCAATTGCCAAGTTGCTTTCTTTAATTAATTCATTGTGATGATGACTCCTCCAAATTCTTCAAAACTTTCTTCCACTTGAACACTTTATCATGCACTTCCATACTTTCCTTCTTCTCTTTATCGGGTATCACTCTTGAATTTCTCCACACTCTCTACACTTGCTTCTTTGCTCCAAGCTTTTATCATTTCAAATAAGTATCCCATCATTTTCAAGTATATTCCTTAATCTTGGCCTACTTCCTTGACTTTGGCTTTCACAAAAATCTTTATTTTTGTCTTCTTATCATTTACTCCATCTCATCTCTCGTGTCTTCTCATAAAAACTGCAGCAACTTTCCTCAAATTGTAGCTAGATAACAACTCAAGCATCATCATTCTTCTTTGCATTCATTGGTTGCAAGTAGTCAATTTAAACTTCTCCTTCATTGTTTATTCATTCTTTCTTTATTTCTTCAATGATGGAAGCTTGCATGCATGTCCTAGAGCATATTAATGCAATTGATTGCTTCTTCTTTGGTTTTGGCTTTGAACCACACGTTGTCTTGAGCATATTTCCTTGACCATGGCTGCATACATTTTCATCTTTCTTCTACCTTCTTTTTGCAACACATTACTTTTTCCTCCTCCTCCTCATGCCATTGGTGGAAGACTCTTAATATCTACAAACAACCACTCATTAAATATAAAACAAGATTGGAAAACAAAAACAATATAAATACTCTAATAGATTTACATAAAACAAAAGAAAATACTAACAATTATAAAATTAAGGATAAAACTTGTATTAATTTTGTGCTCATCACACATTTAGGATTTAGGAGAAAACACTCTGACTATGTCACTCTACAATTTTTTCTCAAGTAAAAAAATTAATTCGAGATTAATGTTTTACCTGACTTTATTACAATCCCACCCTAAATGTATGAGTTCTTAAAAAAAAAAAATCTTGAGAGTTATCGCATAAGTGACATGGTCAGATTTAATCCAACGAAAACCTTCTCCCTAGCTAATAAGGGCCCTCTCAGGCCAGCAATGACTTAATTACTTAACAAGATCGGATGGGATGTTCAAAGATACAAGAAAAACAAGATGTGATCATGATAGCAATTTATAATGATTATCATGTTAGCTTATATTATGATTTTATTTGTTTAAATATACTAGTTACAAATTGGATTCACGTTGTAGACTAGTCTGCAATTTATAATGATGATCGTATTATCTATCATGCTATATTATGATTTGATTTATTTAAGAATATCAAATTTGATCAAGGGTTTTGTGATGAAACACCAAGTATTGGCGACCAACTATGATTCCTTTCAATGGTGGAATCTACGACTATTTAGTAAATTGGTCGTCAAGTAAATGGGCGGGAGATTAAATTCTAGGCGGGAAACACTAGACAATCATGCAATGAAACATTTCGTCGCCAAAGAATTTTCCCGCTTAAAAATGTTTCATGGAATTGAGCGACCAAGTGATTTTGTTGGGAATACATTATAAAGACGGAATGACTCTACCAAAATGCTGTCCTTTTAAGTGTTTTTAGTGTTTTTTTTTCTTAAATTGATTGTCAGAGTTTTATTTTTTTATTCGAACTCTGGTCAGAGTTTGGGTACAAGTCCCAAATACCACTAGACTGATGCATCTTCTTGTGGAATAATCTTACAATTGTAATATTTATTACAATCTAACC